GACAAACGAGTCAGAGCAGCAGCAGCAACAGACGCATGCTCCAGTGCTGCTGCTGTCCTTGCTGCTGCCGCTGCTGCTGCTGCTGCACTTTTCGCTGCTGCTGCTGCTGCTGCTGCTACCTCCGCGTCCACGCCCGCTGCGATGGCCCGGCAAATCCCCAGTATATAACTGAGACGAAAACGAACTCCAAACCCTAAACCCTAAACCCTAAACCCTGAACCGTTAGCCCTAAACCCTAAGACCCCTCACCCGTCTTTTAAAGGCTGCAGAGACTTTGCTGCTGCACTTAAAGCAGCAGCTGCTGCTGAAAGAGACGGCGGTTTGCTGCTGTGGAACGAAACCCTCCAGGCCCTGCACACACACCCTAAACCCTAAACCCTAAACCCTAATCCCTAAACCCTAATCCCTAAAACTGAAACCGTGAGCCTGAAGTGGCTGCGGTGAGGTCCCTCTAGATTCTTCTATACGTGTTTTGCCATGCAGCTGCACTCAAGGGTTTAGGGTTTAGGGTTTAGGGTTTAGGGTTTACCAGTCAGTCACATCGGGCGCAGTAAGCTGCAGCTTCAAGCTGCCCTGGAGAAACCGACACGCAGACTCTGCGTCCCACTTTGCTGCTGCTGCTGCTGCTGTTGCTGCTGCTGCTGATGCTGCTGCTGCTGCGGCTGCGTTTCGTGGGTCTGAAGGAGTGCCAACAGCAGCAGGAGCTGCTGCTGCTGCTGGTGTTGCTGCTGCTAATATAGCGTGCGCCAGCCGAACACCCTCTTGCTGCCAGACTTTGTTGCTTTCAGTTGGTGCTGCAGCAGCTAGGCTGCTGCTGCTGCTGCTGTTGCTGCTGTTGCATGCAAAGGTAGCAACCGCACAGAGGAGCTTGGTCATATCTTGCGGGGAGAATGCTTTTGTTGTTGCTGCTGCTGCTGCTCCAGGAGCAGCAGCAACAGCAGCAGCAACAGCGGCAGCAGCAGAGGCAACAAGGGCTCTGAGGAGCGGGACATGCATTTGCTGCAGCGTCGCCATTGCTGCTGCTGCTTCGGCTGCGTCCCGTGGCTGCAGCAGTTGCTGCTGCTGCAGCAGCAGCAGCTGCTCACACAAAACCTTGAAAGCCCCAGGGCTGCAGCAGCCTGCACTTGCTGCAGCTCCAAGAAAGCCGCAGATTTGCTGCGCAGCAAAACCAGGTAACGGCTCTGCTGCTGCTGCTGCAGCTGTTGCTGATGCTGCTGCTGCTGCTGTTGCTGCTGCTGCTGCGCGGGCCTCGATTTCGCCGCAGAAGCGCAGCAGCAGCTGCTGCACCTGCTGCAGCGGGAGGCAGCAGCTGCTGCTGGTGTACGCGAGAGCAGCAGCAGCAAAGCAGGGCGGCTTGAAGCGGGGGAGCAGCAGCAGCAGCAGCGGAGCAGCAGCAGCAAACAGCAAAGGCGCCGGCTGCTGCAGCTTTGCAAATGCATGCAGCACAAGAGTCAGCCCCTGCGAGGTGTACGTACACCCCAACTCCTTCACGTGCCACTCCACTGCATCCAGCAGCAAATGCACTTGCTGCAGCAGCTGCTGCAGCAGCAGCAGCAGCAGCTGCTGCTGCTGCTGCTGCTGCTTGCAGTTTAACTTTGTGGCGGCGTTGGCTACGAGGGCCACTTCCATGGCCGTCAGCTGTCTCGACAGAATACCCTTGCGCAGCACTGCAGCTAGCTGCAGCAGCAGCAGCAGCAAAAGTTGCTGCTGCTGCTGCTGCTGCTGCTGTTGCGGCTGTTGCTGCTGCTGCATGGAGCTTTGGAGCTGCGCCAGGGAGGCCCATATGTTAGCTGCGCTGCGGCCGTCGAGCGCAGCCTGCTTCTGCTGCCTGTGCTGCTGCTGCACGTGCCCCTGCTGCTGCTGCTGCTGCTGCTGCTGCTGCTGGTGCTGGATTAGCAGCTGCTGCTGCAGCAGCTGCTGCAAGCGGTACAGTAAATGCTGCAGCAGCAGCTCGGAGTGTATCTGCAGTTTCGAAAGGGAGGAGAATATCATAGACAAGTCACAGCCGCTGCTGGCAGCAATTACAGCAGGCCACAGACAACTGCTGCTGCTGCTGCTGCTGCTGCTGCTGCTGCTGTTTTGAAGAATTCTTATAAAAGTTAGGGCCGTTTCGCGCATGCGGAGATTCCCCAGCGCATTTAAGTAAACAGACACGTGCCGCGGCTGCAGCCCTGCTGCAGCAGCAGCAGCAGCAGCTGCTGCTGCTGCCGGTGGTCTTGCTCCTGTTGCTGTTTGCCCCATTGCTGCTGCGGCTGCTCTTGATTTTACTGCTGCTGCTGCTGCTGCTGTCCTGTCCCGGCGGCTGGAGTCTTTAGGCCAAGTGGCAGCAGCAGAGGGGGGATGACCTGCTGCGTCAGCAGCAGCAGCAGCAGCAGCAGCGGCTGCTGCCGTTGCTGCTGCAGCAAACCTGTCATTGATAGCAGCGAAGAGTCGGCGGTGGGGAACAGCAGCAGCAGCAAAAGCGTTAGCGATGGTGCTGCAGTGCTCAGGCTGCAGCTGAGGCAGGAGACAACTGCTGCTGCTGTTGCTGCTGCCGCTGCTGCTGCTGTTGTTGCTTCTGTCGCTCTTGTTGCCGTAGCATTCTGAGCTTTGCAGCAGCAGCTGCTGCTGCTGCTGTTGCTGCAAATGGCTTAGCTCTCCGAATTGGCTGCCTCGCTTCTTTCCAGAGGCAACAGCAGCAGCAGCAGCAGCATGCTGCTGCTGCTGCTGCTGCTGCAGGAGCGCCTCTGCAGCAGCAGACCAAAATTGCTGCGGCAGCCGCCGCTGCTGCCGCGCCAGCTGTTGTAGAGACACCCCAATTTGATGCGGCGGCAGCAACTGAAGGGCTCGCAGCAGCTGCCGCGGCTGCAGCAGAGCAGCAGCAGCAGCAGCGGGAGCAGCAGCAGCAGCAGCGGGAGCAGCAGCAGCAGCAACAGCAGACGAGTCCTGCCTGCGGGTCAGCGTCAAGCTCCTGACGCGCCCAGGCGGATGTTTGCCGCTGCTGCTGCTGCTGCTGATGCTGCTGCTGCTGCTGCTGCTGCTGCTGCTGCTAGTGGTACTGCTGCTGCTGCTGCTGCTGCTGCTAAAGAGACGGGTGGTGTATGAAAAAACATTTCGCCTGAAACTAAGTCCATGGGCATGCATCTGATCCTTAACCCTAAACCCTAAACCCTAAACCCTAAACCCTAAACCCTAGCTTGTGAGCTGGTAGGGGCACATGTTGGCGACACAGCTAGGGTTTGGAGACTGGGGTTTAGGGTTTAGGGTTTAGGGTTTAGGGTTTAGGATGCTTTCAAGACTCCTCTTGCCCCAACCGGGTTAATGAAATGTCTAGGAAAGATGAAAATTCACCAATTATAATGGTTTGGGGTTTAGGGTTTAGGGTTTAGGATGTCGCGCTGAGGGTTCAGGATATGGGTTTAGGGTTTAGGGATTAGGGTTTGTCGCGCATGCACGGCTGGGGGTCTAGGCCACTTGAAGAATAATTTTATCAATAAATAAAAAGAAAATAACTGCAAAAATATAAGAAATGCGGAACGCAAACCCTAAACCCTAAACCCTAGACGCTAAGCCCTAAACCCTAAACCCTAAACCCTAAACCCTAAATGGGCGGCGCCGACAGGCTGTCTGTCGCCGCGCTTATTGTCGAGGTCACTTTCGAGGGTTTTGTCTTTCAACTTTCATGAATTTATTTTTTGTTGAATTGAATTAAAAGCTGAAATTGTTCAAACCCTAAACCCTAAACCCTAAACCCTCGAAAAAACGGCGCAGATCCCCTTACGGTCTCTCCGATCCCTCGCCGCTCCACTACTGTGGCTGCTCCGGCTCCCTAGGGTTTAGGGTTTAGGGTTTAGGGTTTAGAGTTTAGGTTTTAGGGTTAATTGTCTGTTTTCTAGAGCTCTTTGCATCCCCGCTCCCGCCGATCTCACCCTAAACCCTTTCTTGGGGTTTAGGGTTTAGGGTCCAAGGGTTTCGGGTTTGGGGTTTAGTGTGAATGTTTATTTTGTTTTCTTTCTTCGGCATTTCAGGGTTTTACGACTCTTTAGGGTTTATATCTGTATTAGGGTTTATGAATTCTAGGGTTTACGACCGCCCTTAGCGTTTGGGGTTTGGGGTTTAGGGTTTAGAAATCAGGGTTTGAACCTCAGCCGAGTTTTTTTCTCTACTGCAGCTACTGCTGCTGCTGCAGATACTGCTGCTGCTGCTGCAGCTACTGCCGCGGGTGTTGCGGCTACTGCTGCAGCTGCTGCTGCAGCTCCTGCTGCAGGTGGTGGTGGTGCTGCTGCTGCTGCTGCGAGGTTTCTCCAGCAGCAGCAAAGAGGTGGAAATAGAATAAATAGTAGAATAAGTAAAATAATAAAATAATAAAATAAATAAAATAATAATATAATAAAATAAATAAAATAAATAAAATAAATAAAATAAATAAAATAAATAAAATGAATAAAATGAATAAAATAAATTAAAAGAATTGAAGAAAAAGAAGAAAGAAGAAAGCCAAACAACTGCAGCAAAGACAAAAACGAAGAAGCAAAAAGAAAAGAAATAAAATAAAAATCAAACAAAATAAAATAAAATAAAATAAAATAAAATAAAATAAAATAAAATAAATAAAATGAAATAAAATAAGATAAAATAAAATAAAATAAAGAAATAAAAGAAAAGAAAGGCAAAAGAAAAGAGTCAAGAGAAACGAATCAAAGCCCCCCGCAAAACCGAAAACCCAAAACCCAAAACCCTAAACCCTAAACCCTAATTGAGTGGTGTTTTTTGCGAACGGGGGCTGCGTTTTAGGCGGGCGGTGCTGCAGCGCGCGGGAGCTTTCTTGTAGAGCGGCGTCAGGGCTATTCCCCAGTTTAGGGTTTAGGGTTTAGGGTTTGGGATGGGGGAAAAGGAGGGTTTGCGGAGCAGCAACTTGCTGTCGTTCGAAACCCCCGGCGTGGCGCTCAAAACCGCGCACCAGGAAAAGAGCTTTACACTGTTTCGGTGTTTAGGGGTTTGGATCGGCAGCAGCGCGAGGGTTTTGCGGCTGCTGCACCTGCTGCTGTTCGTGCTGCTGCTGCTGCTGGCAGCAACTTACGCCACTCTTTTCGTTTCTTTTTCCATTCACAAAAATAATGTTTCTTTGGCAGAAGAAGAAGTTTATGATGAGCTTTTGGGGGCCAAAAACCTCTCCGTCACTCTCCAGCGGCTCCAAACCCTCGCCAGCAGCAGCAGCGAGAAGCAGCAAAAAGTCCTCTTCTCCAGCAACTTGCTGCTGCCCGCCTTCCACAAACAAACTGCTGCTGCGCTCTTCCACATCAACAGCAGAATCATCCTCGCCCTCGAGCACCTCAGGAGCTACGACCAGGTCCTGCTGCTGATTATGCTGCTGCTGCTGCTGCTGCTGCTGCTGCTGCTGCTGCTGCTGCTGATTGTGGTGCTGCTGATGCGTGTGCCATGCACCTGCTGCTGCTGCTGCTGCTGCACTCTTTCACATCAACAGCAGGATTAGAGTGGCACTCGAACACCTCAGGAGCTACGATCAAGTCCTGCTGCTGCTGCTGCTGCTGGTTCTGATCATTATGATTGTGCTGCTGCTGCTGCTGCTGCTGCTGCGTGCGTCACACACGTCCTGCTGCTGCTGCACATCAACAGCAGAATCATGTTTGCTCCCGAACACCTCAGAAGCTGCGATCAGGTGCTCCCGCTGCTGCTGCTGATTACGCTGCTGCTGCTGCTCACTACGCTTCTGCTGCTGCCGCTGCTGCAGCTGCGTCCCCCACGTGCTGCTGCTGCTGCTGCTGCTGCAGAGCATCCGGACTGCGATGAGCTGTCTGTACAGTTCGTCGCGGCAGCCGCAGACGGAGTGCCCGCTTGCTGCAGTGGCGGAGCACTTGCTGCTGGTGGGGGAGCAGCAGCAGCAGCAGCTGCTGCATGCGCTGAAGAGCAGCAAACTGCCGCTTTCGGAAGCCCTAGACGCCAATGTGCTTTCCTTCTATCCCTCTTCTTGGGGAGATGTTGCAGAGCCTGCTGCTTTCGTGCTGCAGCTGGCGAGCGAGGGGCGGTTTGCTGCAGTCAGCCAGCTCAGCAGCAAATATGCTGCTGAGCTGGAAGCAATTATTAATTCTCTCCGAACTATTATTCTGTGGCCGCCCCTCGTGTGCACTCCCGCGGTCTTCGGTGCTGCTGCTGTGCTCATTTTGCTGCTCTTCGCCACCCTCATTGCCATCAAGTCCAGTGCGCCTAGGGTTTAGGGTTTAGGGTTTAGGGTTTAGGGTTTAGGGTTTCGGCCTTGGCGGTTAGGGTTTCGGTTGCGCGGCAGCGGGCGAATGCTGCTGCTGCCGCTTTGCTGCTCTTCGCCACATTCGTCAACATCAAATCCAGTGGAGTTAGCGCTTAGGGTCTAGGGTTTAGGGTTTAGGGTTTAGGGTTTAGGGTTTCCGGTTCAGGGTTTTGCATGTCAGCGAGCATTTTGGGTTCCAGAGCTCAGGGTTGAGTGTGCAGCGCTGAGTGCTTAGGGTTTTGCGCATGCGCAAACGCTCTGGGCGCTAGAATTTAGGGTTTAGGGTTTAGGGTTTAGGGTTTAGGGTTTAGGGTTTAGGGTTTAGGGTTTGCGCTGCGCGTCAGAGAACATCCTGGACGCGTTTTCGGCGTGCCAGTCCGCAGTGTTTTCTTCGGGAAAAAGCATCGAGACAAAAATGAAAGACTTGTCGGAATATTTTGTTTGCTTCTTGGAGTTGCTGCTGCTGCAGCGGCTGCAGGCTGTCGAGGGTTTTGCTGCGCTGCTGCTCAGCAGCAGCAAACTCACTCCCTACCACCTCAAGCTTCTCAAACTCGAAGAGAAAGCCATCGTCGATATCATCGCCACTGCAGTCAACCTCCTCGTCTACATCGAAACCGAGGTTTTGGGACCCCAGGCGAGGGTTTAGGGTTTAGGGTTTAGGGTTTAGGGTTTAGGGTTTGGGGTTTGGGGTTTGGGGTTTTGGGGCAAATTAGATCCATTTTGTCTCAAATTCGATAAATTAAATTAATTAATTAAATTAAATTAGTTAATCAAGTTAATTAATTAAATCAATTAAATTAAATTAATTAAATTAAATTAATTAAATTAAATCAATTAATTTAATTTAATCTAATTTAATTTAAAGTGAGGATTAGCAGCAAAATGCTGCAGCAGCAAATTAATGGAAATTCGACTTCAGCAAAAGTCCATCAAACCAAATTCAATTAAACTCAATTCAATCAAATCCCGATAATTTGTTTAATTTATTTGATTTATTTAATGTATTTAATTCATTTACTTCATTTAATATACTTAATTTGATTTAATTTAATTTAATTTAATTTAATTTAATTTAATTTAATTTAATTTAATTTAATTTAATTTAATTTAATTTAATTGATTTACTTTAATTAATTTGATTTAATTAATTTGATTCAATTCGATTCAATTCAATTCAATTTAATTTAATATAATTTAATTTAATTTAATTTAATTTAATTTAATTTAATTTTAAATTCAATTCAATCCAATTCAGTCCAATTAAATCAAACCAAATCAAATAAAACCAAATCGAGCAAAATAAATCGAACTAAATATACCAAACTGACCGAAATGAAACACTTAAATAAACAAATTGAATTAAATTAAATCAAATTTAATAATTAAATTAAATTAATTAAATTTATTTGTTTAATTTAACTTAATTTAATTGATTTGTGCTGCAGGACGAAGAAGACGCAGCGCTGGACCCGCGCGCAGTTGTAGAAAACTGCATAGATTTATTTCGGCCAAAAGCAGCAGCAAATAAAACCCCCATAACTTGCACCTTTGCAAATGGATTTCCCTCCACGGCTTTTATTCGCAGAGACAAGCTCGCCACCACCCTCACCCGCGTAAACCCTAATTTAGGGTTTAGGGTTTCCGCAGCCACTGCGCCCACCCAAGGCGCTGACTCCCCAACTCCGAAACCCCCAACGCGCTCGACACTCGCGGAACCCCCCAGCGAGGCTTCCGCAGACACGCAGGGGCTAGGGTTTAGGGTTTAGGGTTTAGGGTTTAGGGTTTGGGGTTTGGGTGCAGACTCTGGCCTACGTCTTGGACCACTCCGTGGAAAAGGGAGCGGGAGTTGATATTTATGTAAATGCAAATGTTTCAAATCAAAGAAAAGAAAGAAATGAAAACTCAAACTCTGCTGCTTTCCAGCTTTACGACATTCGCTTCGAGGTCCCCAAACCCTAAACCCTAAACCCTAAACCCTAAACCCTAAAGACTAGACGAGGAAACCGTAGGCCTGAAGTGAAAAGCGGAGTTCACTGTGGAGGGCGAGAGTTGTGGCAGCTGAGGCATCCCAGCCCCAAGCCCAAACCCGAAACCCTAAACCCTAAACCCTAATTTGGGGTGTGCAGGTGAAGGGCCACGGAGTTTGCATGGAGAACACAAAGGCGCAAATGATGGTGCAGACGAAGGGCCTGATCGACAGGCGGGTTCCCCCAGTGGTCGTTGTCCTAGGGTTTAGGGTTTAGGGTTTAGGGTTTAGGGTTTAGGGTGTGGGGTTGTTTGGGGTGAGGGTTTTGTTCGTGAGGATCTGCGAGAGTGGGGCTGGAGGCGTTGCGCGGGGGCCGCGGGTCAGGGCCCGCGCAGAGGGTGCGAATGCGTAAACCCTAAAAAAGGGTTTGCGCGCAGGGGCGGGCAGGGTTTGCGGCTGCTGACCTGCAGCCGCATAGCGCAGTCGCTGGGAGGGTTTATGGAAATCCAAGCTTCTCCTTCTCGAGGGACTTTTATTTCTTTTATTTTTCGAAGAAGAGGGAGGTTTTCATTAGAAGACATTGACGGGAGGTTTGCATCTCTCAAGGGTTTAGGGTCTCAGATCTTCACTCTTTCTTTGCCCCTCGAGACCAAACAGTTCTTCACCTTCCTCGCCAAAGACATCGGAGTCAAGTGCACCAACTGCTTCTGCCTCCGCCAGCTCATTCAGGAGCTCAAGGAGGTCCGAAACCCTAAATTAGGGTTTAGGGTTTAGGGTTTGGCGTTTGCGGTTTGGGGCTTGGGGTTTGGGTTTGCGGTTTACGGGGTTCGGATTGCGGCGCGCGGCCGCCAGGCGTCCGAGGGAGCGGGGAACGCGCTGCTGGCGCTAGGGTTTAGGGTTTAGGGTTTAGGGTTTAGGGTTTAGGGTTTGCGGGCAGGACGACCCGGAGTGCCCCACTTTGGCGGTGTTTTTGGGGGACTTCGTGAAAAGCAGCGCAAACCCTTCGGACAGAGACTCGCGGCCAATGACTCCGAAAGAAATCTTCAACAAGTTGCTGCTGCATGCAGCAGAAGGCAACAAAGAAGTGAAGTTTAGCTTCGTGTCTGCGCGCCATTTGCTGCAGCAGCAGCAGCAGCAGCAGCAGGACGACTGCAGCAGCCTCCTCAACAGACCCGCACAACACGCCCGAAGCGCCAGGGCCAGCACTCTCGCTCAAAACGTCGTCTACAGAGAGTGCGACCAGCAAACCACAAAACAGGGTTTAGGGTTTACGAGTAGGGCTTAGAGTTCAGGGTTTAGGGTTTAGGGTTTGGGGGTTAGGGGTTGTAGAAAATCGCAGAGTGAAAGGCCCACATTCAGGGGACAGGCTCTAGGGTCTAGCACCTAGGGTTTAGGGTTTAGGCGCAAGGGTTTTGATCTTAGAGCTTAGGGTTTACGGCTTGGGGCTCAGGGCTGGGAGGTGTGGCTTAGGTTTAGGGGTTAGGGTTTAGCGTTTAGGGTTTAGGGTTTGCGTGCCAGACTGGAGCTTCCGCTCAAGACGAGCGATGTCATGGACGTCATCATTTTGGCCATGCAGGAGAGAATGCAGCAAAGGGAAGAAAGGTGCGAAGAAGAGTTTAGGGTTTAGGGTTTAGGGTTTAGGGTTTAGGGTTTAGAGTTTAGGGTTTAGGGTTTAGGGTTTACGGTCAGCGTGACTGGCTGCGAACACGCCCCTGTATTGCTCTTCTTGTTTTCTCCGATCATTCTTCATACCCCCATCATATCTGCAATCAAGGGTTGAGGGTTTAGGGTTTAGGGTTTAGGGTTTAGGGTTTAGGGTTTGGGTGCAGAGCGCGGGCGAAGAGCAAGTTGAAAGTGTCGTACATGGTGGACGTGCGAAAGGACTCGAACGAGTCCTCGTCGGTGTATTCGGAGGACGAGCACCAGCAGCAGCAGCAGCAGCAGCAGCAGCAGCAGCAGCAGCAGCAGCAGGAGCGGCTGCGCAGCTCCTCCTTCACCCGCCCCTCCGGCAGCAGAAGCCGCAGCACTGCAGCAAGTAATTTGGAGAGCAGCAGATCGAGAGGCTCGCGAGCAGCTGCGACTTTTTCGCAAACCTCCGTCAAACTCGACTCCGTCAGCAACGACGCAATTGAAAGTGAGGGTTTAGGGTTTAGGGTTTAGGGTTTAGGGTTTGGGGTTTGGGGTTTAGGGTTTGGGGTAAGGGTTAAGCGCTAGGG